ATTGTTCTTGTGTGCCTTCCAGTCCTTATCTTGAGGTTTTCTAGGCAAGATTTTTCAGAGGGGGGTTGACATTGTCTTCCCCTGAGGCTGAGACAGTGTGTCTTGCCCAAGGTCATTCTTGGCAAGATTTGTTCAGAGGGGTGTTGTTTTTTTGTTTTGCAAAGCAAAGCAGCTTCATTTACATACAGCTTCATACCGCGCTATGGGATGTCTAAGCGGTTTACAACTGTAAGCTCATTGCCCCCCAACAGCTGGATACTCATTTTAGTGACCTCGGAAGGATGCAGGCCTGAGTCTAGCCTGAGCCCTGGCTAGTATTGAACTCGCAACCTTGTGGTCTATGAGTGAGTGGCTGCAGTACAGGCATTTAACCACTGCGCCACCAGTTTGTTTTTGCCTTCCCCTGAGGCTGAGAGTATGTGACCTGCCCAAGGTCACCTAGTGGATTTATATAGTCAAGTAGAGAATCAAACCCTGATCTCCAGAGTTGTAGTCTGAAGTTCAAACCACTAACACCCCACAGGCTCTCTTGGCCCAGATGGGTTTCCATGCCAGAGCATGGATTTGAACCCTATTCTGCAGGGTTGTAGTCTGACACCCAAACCACTACACCACACTGGCTGTCCTGTCTTCCTAGTGGTTTTCTGTTGATGGTAGATGAGTGGAGAGATGGGACCCTAATGTGAGATAATGCAGCACTTATGGCATGCTCATATTTGAGGGCAAATGGTTGGATGGGGAGGTGTGGAAAAAAATCATAAGATTCATAGAACCATAGATTTGGAAGAAACCACAAGGGCCATCCAATCCAACTCCAAGCCAAGCAGGAAATCACAAGCAAAGCACACCCAGCAGATGGCCATCCAGCCTCTCTTTAAAGACCTCCGAAGAAAGAGACTCCACCACTCTCTGAGGAAGTGTGTTCCACTGTCAAACAACTTTTACAATCAAGAGGTTCCTCCTAATGTTGAGGTGGAATCTCTTTTCTTGCAGCTTGCATCCATTGTTTCGGGTCCTAGTCTCTGGAGCAGCAGAAAATAAGCTTGTTCCCTCCTCAATATGACATCCCTTCAAATACTTATACAGGGCTATCATGTCACCACTTAACCATCTCTTCTCCAGGCTAAACATACCCAGCTCCCAAAGTGGCTTCTCATAGGGCATGGTTTCCAGACCCTTCACCATTTTGGTTGCCCTCCTCTGGACATGTTCAAGCTCATCAACATCATTTTTGAATTGTGGTGCCCAGAACTGGACACAGGATTCCAGGTGGGGCCTGACCAAAACAGAGCAGAGCAGTATTATCTAAAACACTATACAACACTTCCATTGATGAAGCCTAGAAGTGCATTGGCTTGTTTAGCATCACACTGTTGATTCATGTTCAACTTGTGGTCTACTAGGACTCCTAGATCCTTTTCACATGTACTGTTGTCAAGCCAGGTGTCCCCATCCTATCTGAGCCTTTCATTTTTTCTGCCTACTCGTAAGTGTAGTGTCTTACATTTCTCTCTGTTGAAATTCATTTTGCTAGTTTTGGCCCAGCTTCCTAATCTATGAAGGTCATTCTGAATTTTGATCCTCTCCTCTGGGGTATTACGTACTCCTCCTAATTTGATGTCATCTGCACATTTGATAAACATGCCCCCTGTTCTTTCATCCAAGTCATTAATAAAGATGTTGAATAGCATTGGGCCCAGGACAGAGCCCTGTGGCACCCCACTGGTCACTACTCTCCAGGATGAAGAAGAGCCATTGCTGAGCACCCTTTGGGTTCGGCCGGTCAATCAATTACTAATCCACTCAACAGTTGCATTGTCTAGCCCACATTTTACTAGCTTATTTTCCAAAATATCATGGGGGACCTTGTCAAAGGCCTTACTAAAATCAAGATATGCCTACATCCACAGCATTCCCTTCATCTACTAAGCTGGTTATTTAATCAAAAAAAGAGATAAGGTTAGTCTGGCATGACTTTGTTTGAGAAACCCATGTTGGCTTTTAATATTATGGCATTCTTTTCTAAATGCCTACAGACTGTCTGTTTAATGATCGGCTCTAGAATCGTTCCTGGTATAAGCAGTCTGTAAGTATGTATGTTCTGAGGTCAGCACAGTCCACGTTTTAGCTGGAGCCCTTTCACCTGACACACTTTGATTCTACTGTATCCTATGGAACCTGGGACTTGTAGTTTGGTGATGGACTACAGCTCTCTGGCGGATACAACTAAGTGCCCCCACGGAAACTGCAAATCCCAGGATTCTATAGGATGGCAGTTAACTTGAAATCATATTGATATATTTCTGTAGTGTGGAAGGGCATCCAGTCACTGCATGATTCAAACACCCACAAACTAAGAGTTCCTCTAGAAATGAAACAATCATTTTCAAATAATATTTTGGGTTAATATTTTTTGCCACTTCAGATGTACATGCTTCATGCATTAAAGTTTTGCTCTTTAAACTTTAAAGTAAAACTTTTGTATCTGAAGCAAGTTTGTCCTGGATGGTCAGATATTCAAAGTCAGTATTAGTGGATAAAACAGGGATGGGCAAATGTTCAAGAGATGGCATCATTTTCACCTGGTTTGGTGGGGAGAGGAGGGGAAACCACTGTTCATGAACCTTTGGTGAGCTTGGGAGTAGAAAATTGCAGAGAATAAAAATTTTAAAATGGCATGGGAGAATTAGGGACTGATGGAGCTATAGAGGCCACAGAAGTGAGATTTGGAGCTAAAGGGCCCCAATATCCAGCATCTTGATGAAATTTGCTGCTGAGTTAGCCTCCTGGAGTTCAGATGCCCTTTGTTAGATGTGGTAACAGAGCCAACAAATGTTACAA